AGGCACTACGCCACCAGAGCTCGCAGCAGCACCATAAGTTCCCGAATTAGAAGATGAAACAAGACTATCCTACTTTGTTGGTGAAATTGTAGATTGATATAACCTCTTTGGAAGATAATTTGGAAATCTTTATCAACTCTTAAATGTTTATACTCTTTAGAGAATTCCACTTCTAGATGTTTATCTTTTATGTTTGCTGTCACATTGTATGCAAAAATACACACACAAGTATACTTGTTACAATAAAGTTCATAATAGCAAAACACTAGAAACCACTTAAATACCCATCAGATAAGAGACTGGTTAAATGAATATGGTACAGCCTTCAAAAACAATGATGTATGGTGTCAGAGGTAAGAAAGAGGTTTAGTTTCAACTAGAAGTTCCCCATAAGAATTAATTTTTGCTTAAATTTTATTTTTTAAGAGTAGATAGGAGGTTTAATAAGGAACTCTGGTGGTGTAGTGGTTAAGGTATTGGCTACTAACCAAAAGGTCAGTGGTTTGAACCCACCAGCTGCTCTGTGGAAGAAAAATGGGATAGTCTCCTTTGGTCAAGATTTACAGCCTTGGAAACTCAATGGGGGAAACTATGAGTCAGAATCAACTTGATGGCAGTGAGTTTGGTTTAGTTTTTCAGAAGGTTTAATGGTTCAAAATCAAAATGATACAAAAAGGTGTCTATGAAGAAGTCTTGCCCTTCCATCCCATTCCCTAGCTTCATCCCCTATAGGTAACTCTTATAGTAACCAGCCTGTAATATGGTGCCCAATGATCCCCATGTCCTGGTAGTCACAAACTTGTGCATTGTCCTCCTTCCTTGGTGGTCTGTATGACCAATAACATATGGCAAGAACCATAGCATGTCACTTCTCAGATTCACATACAAAAAACAATCACAACTTCTGCCTTCAGTGCTCTCTTGCTGGCATGTACTTTCTTTTTCACTTCTTGGATCACTGTCTCTGGGGCAGCCAGATGCCATGTTGTGAGCAGTCCTATGGAGAGGCTCAGGCGGTGAGAAACTGAAGCCTCCAGCCATCGCCAGTGAGGAGCTGAGGGCTGCCGATAAATGCATGAGTGAGCTTGGCAGTGGATTCTCCAGCTCCAATTGAGCCTTTAGATGACTGCAGCCCCCGCTGACATTTTAAGTGCAGGCTTGTGAGAGACTCTGAGTGAAAACCACAAATCTAATCTACCCCCAAACTCCAGACCCTCAGAAATGGTGAGACACTAAATATTTGTTTTAGGCTGCTAAATTTTGGGGTAGCTTCTTACACCGCAATAGATAACCAATACACCATTTGTATTAGTTTCTTATTTGTCTTTCCGGTGTTTCTTCATGTAAATAAGAGCAAATACAAATATGTTTTCTTACTTTTTTTTTACACACCAAAAAATGGTATATTATATATCCTGTTCTGTGCTCTTTTTTCCCAACAGTATTTCCCGGAGGTCCTTTCATATCATTACATACAAACTTCCTCATTCTTTTTACAGCTGCATAGTGTTCCATTGTTCAGAATATTTATTCAGTCAGTCTGTTGCTGGCCGCTTGGGCTGTTTCCCACTTTTTGTTATTACAAACAATGCAGCAGTGAATAACTTGGAGGTCTATCCCTTCATATGGTACAAGAGGATCTGTAGGAGAGAATTTGAAGGAAAGTTGCTGGGTCAGAGGTACATTTTGTAATTTTTGGTAATACTGCCAGATTCTCCCCCATAGGGAAAGTATACCCTTCAGCTTGTTTGAATTTGGAATCATGCATCTTTTGTCTTAAAAGAAAAAAAACAACAACAACCTCTGCAAGAGATTCTGATCCTCATGTGAGGTTGGAAGCCCACGACTGCTCTACCCTTTCCTAATCAGATTCTCAGAGGGGATCCTGAGGGCAAAGATTAAAAGTCAAAACTCTCCATATGCTTTTAAAGCACGCACACAACACAAATTCCAAACTGCTACTCCTTTGATAGCCCACAAGGACTGAGAAGGTGAGCTGGGAGCTCCCAGGAGAGCTGCTGCCAAGGGTGAAAATATGGCCCTGTGGCGTCAGCTCAACAGGCTCCTGCTGAAGGAAACCGGGACCCATCCGCCAGACTGAGCTGGAGAAGCTCAGACCCAGTGGTTCGGGAAAGCCGGGGAGTCACTGGCCCTTCACGGGGTGTGTGTGGAAGACTCTCAATCATGTTCAAGATGAATGCCTGAGCTGGAGCTGAGACAGCAGGACAGGGCCTGCTATAAGCTCTGGAGGAGGGGGGGGGTGTGCCTGTAGTGGTCTGTCTGGATTATGGTTTGACAAGGCCAGCCTGAAAGAGTTATTGCTATTTCATTACCTTCGAAAGTGGGGTATTCTTATTATAAATTCATGGTGGGGAAAAGAATGCTCGCTCCTCAGCCAGCCAGCTGTCTGTATCATGGATCACTCAATTGTACTTTCCACTCTTACTGTACGTGAGGAGCTATCTGAAGCCATGGAGAAATGTTCAGCATTGATAATGAGTCTCGTATGTGTCCAGAGAAGTAAGTAATGTTCAGAGCAAGCTGGAGGGTCAAACTCTGCTTCGACTCTTTCCTGCAGTTATACTTTCAGTTAACATACACTTTCCTATTTTTCAAAGATTTTGGCAGCACTTCTGCCCAAAGGAAGAGAGGCAAAATTTCCTCTATGTTTAAATATACTTTAGAATATAGCAATGCCATGTCATTGGAAAAGGCATGGGATTTATTGGCAAAATACAGCATTTTTAGTCTAGATCTATCACTTATTAGCAATTGGTCTTGGCAAGCCATTAACTTTCCCAAACCTTAGATTCCCTAGCTGGTTGGTAATTGAGAATAAGAGCAGCTGTCTTAACTAATCCATGGGGCGGTTCTGAGGACTTGCCTTAAAAAATAAATAATGCAGTGATGCTTAAAAAAAAAAAATAGTGTATAGTTTGTGCCTGATTATAAAAATGGTGATGAGTTTAAAGCCTTTATTTAATATCTTCAATATATGTCCATTGTAAAAATTCTCCAAAACACCAAACCAAACTCACTGCCATTGAGTCAATTCCAACTCATAGTGACCCCCATTGGTTTCCAAGGCTGTAAATCTTTACAGAAGTAGATTGCCCCATCTTCCTTCCATGGAGTGGCTGGTGGGTTTGAACCACCAACCTTCTGGTTGGCAGTTAAATGCCTTAGGCACTGCACCACCAGATGACTGAGTTAACTCTACACAAAGTATATGGTTCACATAAGAGGTCATGGTCAACCTGTCCTCAATATCAAGCTTTTACATTATCCACCTGTTTTTTTCAGGTTGCTGAGCCTTCTGTTCTCACAGAAGCTGCCCCAAGCCTATAGAAGGCAATACTATTCTTCTAGTTGTTCAGTCCAGCAAACTCAGAGTCACCCTTGACGGGAGCCCATCCATCAGCAAATCTTATTTATAAGCTTTACCTTCAAATATAATCATAATGTATTTGATTATAATTTATATAATCATAATCCAGGAGCCCTGGTGGCATAATGGTTAAGCACTCGACTGCTAACTGAAAGGTCAGCAGTTTGAACCCACCCAGCAGCTCTGTGGGAGAAAGAACTGGCAACCTGTCCCTGTAAAGATTACAGCCTAGGAAGTCCGTGGGAGCAGTTCTACTCTATCCTACGGGTTTACTATGAGTCAGAATGAGTGTACAGCACCTAACAACAACCTTCAGAATTTGACCATGACCTGACCACTTCTCACCACCCTGGGCTGAGCCGCCAGGGTTATTGCAGTAGGCTTCTTATAGCTCTCTGCTAGTCAGTACAGAGCCATCTTTTAAACTGAGATCCTATCATTCCACTGCTCAGAAC